AAGAGTGTTTGAGATTGAAATATATCACAGTAATGTCGGTGCATGAAAGATATTTTTTTTAAACTACAAAAACATATCTGAACAATATAAACACAATGTATTGATTACAATATAAAAAATTTAAATATTTAATATAAAGGTGAAGTTAAAAAATAAACCATTAAAGTGTTTAAATGAATATAAATTATCAAATGACATACTTCATGCTTTATTGGAGAGCACTTATAAAATAAAAAAATATTAATGATAAAAAAACGGACTATGTTCTCTAATGATGTTTTAAAAAGCAGTCTTGCCGTTACTGAACATTTTGTGTTTTCTTTGCAATGTAAATCTTAGCAACATGCATGTACTTTAAATAGTCACTAAATTCACTTTCACTTTGAGCACCTGTTGGTTTTCCATCTTGTCATTGTAAGTAGATGTATTGCATGTGGATTTGGGTAAATGCATATCAGTACATTTAGTGTTTTGTTGTGTTTGTGATGTGTCTCTTAGATAAGCCCTGCTGTCTGAGGTATGTCAAAAGAGTTAGTCTGTCCATTAAAAACAGAGTGACCAGTTACAGAAGACAAGGCCTGAACGGAGGCTGCAGAATCCAAGCTCTTGTGTAAGTAACATCTGTCTGTCTGTAGATTTAGAACTATTAAAGTGGTTTGAAACTTGTACATACAGGCATGTATGAATCAAATCTAACTGTTACAGGGAAATTTAAAGTAATGCTTCCCAGAATGACTTTTATAATTTTTTATCCATTGCATGTTTATAGGACAACCTACACACACATCCACATTCAGCATTTGGATTTTAGATACCCAAAACGATAAAAAAAAAAAATATTGTTCAGATTGTTAGACTGATAATACAATTTTTAATGAAAATGTTCATATGCAGCTAGAATTTTAAATTAGAATGTATATTTCTTATACATTTTAATGATATTCATATATATTTTCCATATGGGAAGTGTTGCCATAAAATGTATGTCTGTGAAATAATTACTAGATAAATGAATTGATGTCCCTGGAGAGGAATGGAGACACAGGACACACAATGATGCAATGAAATGCCTTAAACTGTAGTGAATATAAGAAGCTCTATACATTAATTTTTCAGACATTACAGTTAATGATTTTTAATGCAACTGTCTCTCGGCAGATTCAAATTGGACAATGGCCAAGAGTTTTGTGCTGAGTTCTCTGAAATATGGGCGATTGAACTCGTGATGTGGGTGGCCAGACCGCGAGATTCAAGGTGGTCTTCCAGGCCTCAAATACCTCGAATGCCCGAATATCCTCGAATGCCCGAATATCCTCGAATACCCGAATATCCTCGAATACCCGAATATCCTCGAATACCCGAATATCCTCGAATACCCGAATATCCTCGAATACCCGAATATCCTCGAATACCCGAATATCCTCGAATACCCGAATATCCTCGAATACCCGAATATCCTCGAATACCCGAATATCCTCGAATACCCGAATATCCTCGAATACCCGAATATCCTCGAATGCCTGAATATCCTCAAATGCCTGAATATCCTCGAATGCCCGAATATCCTCGAATGCCGAAAATGCCTCGGATGCCCAAAATGCCTCGGATGCCCGAAATGCCTCGGATGCCCAAAATGCCTCGGATGCCCAAAATGCCTCGGATGCCTTTTTGAATGCCTAAAATGCTTAGAATGCCTGAATTGCTTTGGATGCTCCAAAATGACTCGAATGCCTATAAAGTCTGAAATGCCTTGGAACACCTGAAATGCCTCAAACATCTGAAACTCCTCAAAAACCTGAAATGGTTTGGACACCTGAAATGCCTTGAATGTCTTCATGCCTCAAATGCCTTCCATGTCTCCAATGTATCAAATTCCTTCAATGCATAAAATGCCTTCCATACCTTCCATGCCTCAAATGCCTTCCATGCCTTGAATGCTTGAATAGACATAATGTTTTTACTTTTCTTAATTAACTGAATTAAATGCATAAAAAAAAACAAATACAAATATTTTAACTTTATTTCTAATTGTACTGTGGTAAATTGAAATCTATGTTTAAATAATGTTTGCATAAAGGTC